GCGCGAGAGATGGAACACAATATCTTCTTTCTGGAAGGTTCAAGCCACTAAGTTTCGATTTGTGCGTGTCTGCCCAAAACCAAGATTCTTGCCAGTTCCTGTCGGACAACTGTCCCTCGTCATGTTTTTTTTCCAAACCGTGCACATTCCCTCCGAGCCGTGACGGCGCGGGCGCGGGCAGCGGCGACGACGACGCAGGGACGACGTTGGTGGGGACAGGCGAGGATAGAGATGAGGATAGAGTGGCGACGACGATGCGGCGACGACACAGCGCAGCGGCGATGCGACGACGACGCGCTAGCTGATGCCCCACAATGGCTGCACCCGCTCGTTGTTGTGCGGAGGGCATCTGGCGATGCTGAAATGAATGACCGTCCTTTGACCATGAGCCTTTCACTGAAGCTGCCGAACACGCCGGCAGATTCAGGGGACATTGCCACGACACAGCCAGGAGTAACGGGGCGCACCGCACGTCTTGCCTCTCTCAGTAAGCAGTGCTCATATGCTGCTGCTCACGCAGGGGTCCGCTGCGCTGCAGCTCCGTTATGCCTCCTACAGCGAGGTGAAAACCTACCTCAGCAGCGCGCATGTCATTGTGATTGACGAGGGGCAGCAGGAGGGACAGCCTGCTTCAGCTGCCTTGCGAGTGCCGCAGGCCAGCTCGTCATCCGCACGGGGGACCCACGGCAACCAGCCCGCCGCCGACTCGCGGCTCGGCCACCCGTCGCCTTAAGCCGCTCGGTCGTCGCTAAGTTGTTTCTTTCCCCCCACCACCAGAGATTGTTTTTTGGCTTCGATTTTGGACGCCTTCGCTACGTCGATCTGTTCGGCACGGCAAGGCGAATCGCGCTGGCGGTGTAAAAGAAGATCGAGTTCAAGTCAGTGCCCTGCGTGCCTCCCGTGGCTGTGAGGTAGCCGTCCGTCGGCCGGGCCTTGTTCACGATGTTGCATCACCTAGGTCTCGGATGTCCTGGACGCGTGTTGCGCTGTCACGAGGCCCGTGGCTGTGCTCTCACCCGCAGCCTGGATGCCAACGAGCGCGCCTCCGACGAGACTGTGTGGTGCCCTGGCGGTCTCCTCGGAACCTGGGGCAGTGTTTGGAGCTTCACAACCGCCAGGAGTGGCAATGAGGGACGCAAAACATGCTAACTGGGACGTCGCTCAGGAGATTCTGCAGGAATTCCGAAACCGGAGCTACCCCGAGCTCTGCGAGCAGCGGAGCTGATGTTCCAACCTGGACAACCTTTTGGCGTTTCTTAAACAACAAGTCGATTATTTTTCAGGCAAAGAAGCAACAGACAAGCAGCAATAAACAAAAGAAACAGCAAGTTGTAACTTTACATCAAGGTCCATGCTTTGGAAATAATTATAAGTATATAAATAACAGTCGCACTGCTTCGAATCTGGTTTCGGTGTTTATAGGGTACATGGGCTTCTGCAAACAATCTACGGCTCTCGGTGCTGGGGCTACGGGGCTTCTGCAGACAATACGGCTCGGTGCAGAGCTGCGGGGGGCTTCTGCGCATACAATTGCCTACGGCTCTCGGTGCTTATAGGGCCACCGGGGCTTCTGCGCAAACAATTAACTACGGCTCTCGGTGATTAGGGCTATACGGGGGGCTTCTGCATACACTTGCCTACGGCTCTCGGTGCTTAGGGCTATGGGGGGCTTTTGCACAAAGAATTGCCTTCGGCTTCGATGGCTCTCGGGCTTCGGGTGCTTCTGCAAATGGACAACCAACCAAGCACAACGACCGACCGACCAAGCGAACAAGCACAGCAAGCCTTCAAGCACAACCAACCAAGCACAACGACCGACGGACCAAGCGAACAAGCACGGCAAGCCTTCAAGCACAGCATGCTTTCAAGCACAACCAACCAAGCACAACGACCGACCGACCAAGCGAACAAGCACAGCAAGCCTTCAGGCACAACCAATCAAGCACAACGGTCGACCGACCGACCAAGCAAACAAGCACAGCAAGCCTTAAGCACAACCCAAGGCGCCCAATCGACCAAGCGAACAAGCACAGCAAGCGCAATCAACCAAGCACAATCGACCGACCGACCAAGCGAACAAGCACAGCAAGCCAGCACAACCGACCGACCGACCGACCGAAAAACAAGCCAACCGACCAAGCAACGAGTTAAGCGTGCGTGTGTCAGACATGGTGCACAAGCCAACCTTTTTCACTCTGCAGACGGCGCCACATCATGGATCTCTTCAAGATATATCGAGCACTCCACGCCATCAACATAGTTCGCGGATGGGAAGCGTGGGCACAAGATCTCATGAATTTCATGAAATCTTCTTCGGCAAAGTTTGCGAAGAACATGGGGTTGATAGCATTGCGTTCAATGTCAGATATCAGGTGACACAAGTAATGGTGTTTCGGCCTCACTTTGTACAGAGTTTGCTTGCGAAGCAAGCATTGCCGAGCCATCCTTTGCCAGAGTTCCAGGTGCAATTGCAGCAAAGCAGTGCCTTGAGAGGCTTCATGTCGAGCGAGAAACGGTCGTTGGCCTTTGCCGAAGAGCGACAAAGCGGAATCCAAGGACCAGAGCATAGCGGCACGAACTTGATTCCAGTGAATAAAGTCAGCATCTGCAGTCCACGGCACGGCCCGCTCCTCATTGGGTAGGATATATATATATATATATATATATATATATATATATCTATCTTTCACCATGCCATTTAGGAAAACAAGCGATATGGCTGATGCAGTTCAAGTACTACGTCAATGGCAAAGTGTGTCACAAACGCCAGCAAGTTCCTCGTTCGAGATGCTTTGATGCGTGACGACAGCTCAGGGTAGTTGGCGCTGTCCGATTTGCCCAGCGATGCCACCGTCAGCGTCTTGATGTGGACGTCCAGGCGATTGTCACGAGCCCACAGCTTGGCTCGTGCAGTAAAAGTAAACAGGACATTGTCGAACGGTGTGTCAGAAGCCATGCCCAGGAACTCATGCATCTGACCTGGACGATTCGAAAGCGCAAATGATAGCAACTTCTAAACCCCATGACATGCAGCAAACAAACCCACGTCACAGCTTACCATGCTCCGAGATTCGGCTTTCCAACGTTTCCCAGAGGACACTGCCAATGAGGTCCCGCAAGATGCCCAGATGGGCAATGTGCATGACTCGGCTGCAGAGGCACCACATTAGTTGTTAAAGCAACTCTTTCAATCTCAGTCCTACACCGTTTACCAGCCAATCATACTGCAAGTGGGAAGCTGTCGAAAGCACGCCTGTGTTTGTGAAAGCCAGGGATCACCTTCCATGGAGTGTGCTCCTCTGTGGTACATGCTTGCCTCGGTTCCAGGGTTCGTCGCCAGTTGGCAGCCATCGTAAAGTCAGCGTAGGTGAGGCCACGAAGTCTTTTCTGGGCAAGGCAAAGGTCGCAACAGTTGTTGGTCAAATAATTCCTTCTCAACCGGTGGCTGAGCATGTGGGCTTCCTGGTCACCCTTCCACCACGAGAAGATGGCACGTTTGTCGCCCATGATCGGGGTTTTTGCCCTCTTGCCCCTGAAGCTGTTTTCTGGGAAAACCACGTCCAAATGGTCGCGATCTGCAAAACATCCAGTTTTCAAGGATCTCAGGTCCCACTCAAGCACAGCCAGCACTGCCTCTCGTGTTTTGGCGCAGATGCGACTGGAAGGCAAGCCAATGAAGCAATGTCGCGACAAGAGGGATCCCTTTTCGTTCAGGGGCACAGACCAGCTCCAGAATGCCGCAGACTCATCATGATAATTTGGCACGGCGTCTTCGTGCCAGACCATGGGGTACGTCAGGTGCAGCGGGTGGTCCTTATGAGCAGAGAGGTACACCTCATCTGTCTCTCCTCAGTGTGTCGCCCACGGACTCAAGCATTTGTGTTATACGGGGGTTCAGGGGTCTGTGGCTAGATAGGTAGATTGGTCGATATGTTTTCTTTTAGAAAAAAATAAACTAATATTAAAGTTGCGGAGTTTCTGGCCCACCACTCTTCCAAGCTTCCCAGCCCCAGAAAAATTTCAGACTCCAGGCCTCGAGCGTGTATTTCATGGAAGACATCAGATGGCAGCACGAAGCAAACCTCCTCGTGAACCAAACTTCTGGTTTGATTCTGGCCGGGTCTCCCAGAGCTGAGCAGCGGCAGCTTACATCTGTATCCACGGAAAGGGAGTTGTATCCAGCGCCACATGTCTCTTTCTCTCGTGCTCCTTGAAAACTGTCGATTTGCGACGCCACGTGCACCGTCACAGACAAAGGCTGCGGCAATCTTAGCGGAGTCGTGAATCGACATGGCACCAGACCCCACACGTTCTGCCAACACTTCCGCTCCACGGCCATCCATGTCGTCTGTCTTCCTGATCAGCTCTGTACAGGGGTGGCAAGTGCCAACGCCCTGAAAGAGATGTGGAAATAATGCGGTTGAGACTCATTCGTCGATGTTGTTGCTTCCTGCAGCAACCATGCAAAATTTATGCTGAACGTAGCTGTGGACAAAAGCATTATTGCAACTCCCCATAATTGATTGCATGTCTGCAGGCAGCTGGCATGACCGCGGACTCCAAGTTCGGAGCTGCACTGCACGAGGTGGACGCACCGTACCTGCGACAGGATATATAATAGGACGAGATTGTGATCGATCGTGCGACGCGAGACCGAAGGCAACAACGCAGCTGTCAGATTTTTTGTCACAATAGCCGCTGAACTATAGCAAAAGTGTGTAGGATTCTGCAGGCATCGGAGCAGGATCTGTCTTGGCCATGACGACATGCGCAGCAACGCAATTTTCATTGGTATCATTGCGGCTCCCTAGAAGGGGCCGGGTCAAATTCTATTTCCTGGATTGAGGGGGCCGGGGCCTCAGCCCACACTATAGAGTAACATGGACAAGATTGCATCCCTGCCACGTCTGCCAGACAGCACCCGTGACCCGCACGACACCTGCGCTGCCGGGAGAGGAGGCCTCATGCCCGGCAGAGACGAACCAAAACAAGCGAGGGTTTCACTGCTCCTTTGGAGCACCCTTGCGTTTCTTGTTGGATCCCTGCTTATTGGCCGGTTTCATGGTCGCTGCTTTTGTGAGGCTTTCAGCTGCTTGCTTCGGCCTTTCCATATCTTGCAGCAGCAGCACGTACTGCTTCCCGAAAGGGAGGTACTGCTCCTCCACATCCACTTTGGCTCTCAACAATGAATCGTTGTACAATTTCCTGGCATGTGACATGCGCCACGCACACATGATTGCATGTGGCAGAATCGAAAACAGTTCCCTACGAGAGAAAGTATAAGTGCGAGCGGGGCACTTGAAGTTGCTCTCGGCGTTGGCCAGATCTTTCAGCAAGTCCTTGCCGTAGGGATTCGCTTCCATCTCCGTCTTCAGCTTGGCAGCCAACGTAGACCCAGCCAGGGCTTTCTTCGCCAGGTCCTCGCCCTTGTCGAGCACAGTCATGTTTTCCAGCGTCTTCTTCTTCGCTTCTTGGGTGCTGGCGGATCTCGGGTATCCTTCTCTCCCGATGGCACACCCTTCGGATCGGCCGTCGCAGGCGTTGATGGCACCGAAGGCGAAGGCGAGGGAGCCGAGGACGATGACGGCTGTCCAAGCCGTCGTTTCAGAGCACTCGGTTCGGGCCGCCTCCGTAGCACATGTGCAAAATAGCATGTGGTGCACAAATGCATTGGACCTGCAACCCTCACTATATCTGAGTAGGTGGCATAAGATCTTTCAGAGCAGGCAAATCATCTCGATGAACATTCGTGCGGGCGCCCACGATCTGGCCTGAGATAACATGAAATAAGCTATGGGATTCTCGAGGGAGACTGATTGACGTCACAAACACACAATTAAAGGCGCATGTCCAGCATGGGATCAGTCAGGCCAAGGAACGATCGATGTCGGAACTCCCCCAGTTCCTTCGAGAGGACACGGGCAGCAGCACTTTTAAGATGCAGCAGACCTACAGAACATGCATGAACAAAACTCTCAGACGTCGCATGATGTCATGTGGTCCTCTCAGTCTTGGAAAGGTAGAAGATCTTGGAGCCTCGGAGGTTTGGATCTTCGGCCCAATCTCCACTGGCTTCCTTCTCTTTCATGACATCTTTCGCCCGCTCTCCGTATTTCTGGATCAGTTCCAGCTCCGTGTAGGGAGCTGAATTCGTCAGCTCCTGGCTGCTGACCTCCTTCACGACTTGCCGCTCGTAGCTGCTGCACAGCTCCTGCAAGTCGCCCCCATGCTCCATGAGCTCACTGATCAAGTCCGAAACGGAGTCGTCATCCTCTTTTGCAAGCTTCTCTCTCAGGGAAGCGGGCAGGGCTTCCTGCCTTTTCGGATTCTTCCTCAGGCGATTCAGAAGCATCGCGCTCTGGCGTCTGTTGCACGCAGGCTTTTGCACCGGCGGCTCTTCGGAAGCCGGCTTCCGATCCACAGTTTTTTTTGCTTCTTCCTCTTTCTTCTCATCCTTCTTCTCATCCTTCTTCTCTTCACACGAGGGCTCCTCGGTTTTCTCCTCCTTCACTTTGGTCCATCCCAACTGTTTCTTCACTTCGTCCTCGTCATCCACTCTGGACCTCAGGGCCTGTGACTGCTGACGCAGCCGGGCGAGCTCATCCATTTTTTTCTTGTCCTCCGCTTGCTTGTCGAGCTGCTCCCTGACTTTCGCCATCGCTTCTTGCACAGTTTCTGAATCCATCTTGGACTGTAGATTCAGTTTTCGCTGAATTTCCTCCTGACGTGCTTGCTTCTCCGCTTTCAGTCGATCCAGCTCCAGCAGAAGTCGCTCCCGTTCGTCTTCGTATCTCTTCTCCTGTCAGTTTCTAGCCTAATGGTTTACAAGGTTTATAGGGGTTAGGGGTTATAAGGGTTTGGGGAGGTTCATAAGGGTTTAGGGGTTAGGGCGAGTTTTGGGAAGATCGGATCAGAGCGTGCACGTGTTGGGTTTAAATAAGTTAGGGTTTAGGGTTTCTAGGGTTCAGGGTTGTGGACATTTAAGGTTTAGGATTGATCGGCCTGGTCTAGTGGAGTCTCTTTGGCCTTTTCATTTTCTTTCTTGAGCCTGGCTTCCTCCTCCTCCTCCTCCTCTTTTTTTCTCATCTCCTCTTTGGCCTTTGCTTCCTCCTTGCGATTGGCTTCTTCCTCCTCTTTTTTCCTGGTCTCATCCTTGGTGTTTTCTGGGCCCTCCTTGCACTTGACTTCCTGATCCTTCTGGAGCATCACGAGCTGCCGTTCCAAGTCATCCCTCTCCTTCCGGAGTCTTTGTCTTGTGTTTTCTGCTTCCTCCTTCCGCCTGGCTTCCTCCTCCTCCTCCTCTTTTTTCCTGATCTCTTCTTGGGCCTTTTCTGCTTCCTCCTTCCGCTTGGCTTCCTCCTCCTCTTTTTTCCTGATCTCTTCTTGGGCCTTTTCTTCTGCCTCCTTGCGCCTGGTTTCCTCCTCCTCTTTTTTCCTGATCTCATCTTTGGCCTTTTTTTCTTCCTCCTTGCGCCTGGCTTCCTCCTCCTCTTTTTTCCTAATCTCTTCTTCGGCCTTTTCCTTTGCTTCCTTCTTAAGCCTGAGGTTTTCCTGATCTTGCTTCATGATCTCTTCCCAGCGCCTGTTGTCTTCCTCCTCCTTTTTCTGCATCTCCTCCATTCTCTTCGTTTCTTCTTCCTTGCGTCTCTTGCATTCCTCCTCATCCTCCTCAGCTTTATTCATCCTCATGGATTCTTCCTTCTTACGCAGATCCTCCAACTGTCGTTCCAAAGCAGCTCTGCGTTGCATGAACTCCTCATCCTTAATCTTCTGTTCGTCTGCGATCCGTTTCGCTTCCTGCTCCTTGGTCCTGCGGATTTCCTCTTTCATCTTTTCTTCTTCTTTTGCCTTCCGCTTTGCATCCTCCTCTTTCTGGCGGATCTCCTCCTTCAGCCTTTCTTCTTCCTTCCGCCTGGCATCCTCCTCCTCTTTCTTGCGCATCTCTTCATTCAGCTCCTCTGCCTTCCGCATGGCTTCCTCCTTCTGTCGGATCTCCTCGTTCAGCCTTTCTTCTTCTGCCTTCATCTTGGCTTCCTCCTCTTTCTGGCGGATCTTCTCCTTCAGCATTTCTTCTTCCTTCCGCCTGGCTTCCTCCTCCTCTTTCTTGCGGATCTCCTTCAGCTCCTCTGCCTTTCGCATGGCTTCCTCCTTCTGTCGAATCTCCTCTTTCAGTTTTGTTTCTTCTGCCTCCATGGCTTCCTGCTTCTTCCGGATCTCATCCCTCAGGCGGTTTTCTTCTTCCCTACGCCTGCTTTCCTCCATCCCCATGCGGATCTCCTCGTTGAGCTCATCGTTGAGCCTTTGTGTTTCTTCCTTCCGTTTGGCTTCCTCCTCCTCCTTCTTTCGGATCTCCTCATTCAGCCTTTGTTCTTCCGCCTTCGCTGTGGCTTTCTCATCTTGTTCCTAGCAATGATTCAGGGCGAAAGTATGCGGGCGTTGGCACTTGCCACCCCGCACGGACGTACACTAGTCCTAGCAATGATTCAGGGCGAAAGTATGTGGGCGTTGGCACTTAGCCACCCCGCACGGACGTACACTAGTCCTAGCAACGATTCAGGGCGAAAGTATGCGGGCGTTGGCACTTGCCACCCCGCACGGACGTACACTAGTCCTAGCAATGATTCAGGGCGAAAGTATGTGGGCGTTGGCACTTAGCCACCCCGCACGGACGTACACTAGTCCTAGCAACGATTCAGGGCGAAAGTATGCGAGCGTTGGCACTTAGCCGACTTAGCCACCCCGCACGGACGTACACTAGTCCTAGCAACGATTCAGGGCGAAAGTATGCGGGCGTTGGCACTTAGCCACCCCGCACGGACGTACACTTTAAGGGTGTTGGCACTTACGAACTGCAAATCCTACCTCCATTTGTTTCTTCAAGGAAACCACACGGTTCCGCAGGAATTCCTCTTCCTCCATTCGTCGCTTCTTTCTTGCCTCGACGGAAAGACCGGACGACTTGCATGCAGAGCACCTAATTCAACCAAATGCAATTGGGTCGCTTCTTCGATCTCGAAAATCATTTCGACTTTCTTGAGTGGATCAACCTGGGCATCTTCTGAAATCTCCTGCACTGAATTAACATCACGAGTCCAATGCATGCGGTGTCCAGACAAAAGGATACCGGGCCTTCATTTCCGCTTCATCCATGAGATCTTCGAGATCCATTTCCATGTAATCGTTGTCAGCCTGACAGAGAAATGCACATCCAGCAACGTACACATGTTCTGACACGCATGACTGCCGCATGAAACAAGCCCACCTGCGTCGCCATCGTTGCTTGGGTCTCCATGCACTGTGTCTCGCTGGCCCGAGGAGCAGGATGCACTTCGGCATCTTTCAATCCCCGGCGCACAACTCGACCGATTTTCTCGGCCGAGTCCATCTGCTCCAACTTCACCCTGATGTCGGACATGTTTGAGTTTTGTTGCTAAGCTGGCTTTGCCAAGTTGTCTGTCAAATTACAAAATGTCGGACATGTCCGACATCAAGGATCGAAGCACGGCCCAAAGCAAGGGCCTCCCTATGCACGGGATCCCTACAGGAAAACCAAAAGCTGCAGGTGGGCAATCGGAGCTCCATATATGCAGCAGCGAAGCACAGCCGGTAGAATGCATCATGTTCACAACAGCAATTACACTGCCCAATGTTTTGACGTTGCATTCAAGCGTCAAGCCATCGGATCCTGAGACGACATCCAACCAACAGCAACAGATGCCATGAAGGCAATTGGTAACGGGTTGGTGTGTTATGTACTCGAATGGATAGGAAGGGTAAGTTGCTCTATAGGGGTAACGGGTCGTAACGGGTGGGTAACGGGTGGCCCTGTTCTATTATGTAATAGACGTTTCTTTCGGTAACGGGTCGGTAACGGGTCGTTCCGTTGTACGGTTGATTGGAACTTGTTTGTGACGGATGATACGAATCAGCAAATGCAGTCGGGTCACAGGAAACGTCGACAGTACATGAGGGTATCCGCCAGCTCCAAGTCGACATCGTCATATGAAACAGCCCGAAGTATGCCAACCTACGGTCAGCATGGCCAGGGCAACACTCTATCACAGCAGAGTTCAGGGGTAGACGTGCCACCCAATCCTTCATTTGGAGCAGGCCCATGTCACCAGAAGCAGCCAATGCGGCAATCCGACGGGACATCCTGCACGTGTCTAATGTAACACGATCCGGATCACACCGATTCATACCATGCAGCAAGGTCCCGAGGGATCGCAAGCGACTGCGATGGATCTTCCACCAGTTCGCGATGCATCGCCCAAACCTGGATTGGCATTCAATCCTATCTAGGCCGCACGATTAAACTGCACGATTAAGCAGTCACGTAATCTCGGGCATGTGCTCGACGGGATAGTCTTGACTGGCCTTCAATCCCGGACCGCCCGTGACTCGTTCGACTCCATTCACATCATGAGTCCTCGTTGGGTAGACGATATATACAGGGGAACAAGGACACCATGCAGGAATGCCACTAGCTAAACCGAGATGCCTGCAGGTCACAGGCAGACTGGAGTGATCACTCTTTGTGAAGGACGTGTAGCTCGTGAGGGCTTCCGTGACATCATCAGCAGAATGCACACAGGCTTCAGTGAATCGGCGCCCCAATTTCCCAGGTTGATGCTATACTGGCTCAGGCCACCTCTGTCCTTAAAGAAGGATATCAAATATTGCATGGGCACCGTGTTGACTAGTTGAGAACCTTTCGGGTTCTCAATCGTGAACACAGATCCACGCCACCATGCCAGCAAGGCGAATGCCACCGTGACACCAACGAGGCGGTTCCCCAAAGCCACGTGCGGCCTGGTGGTGTCACCTTCCGGAAAGAAGGGGCTCCTCTGATGTGTTGCAGCATTTATCCATACAAAGCTGGAGCAGACGACGCCGAGATGACATAGCGCCCCTGGCTGGGCCAGCAGGATTGCTGCCACGCCGACCAGCAAGCCAATGTTGGAGCTCAGGTCATGCAGCTCGCTGCCTTACGAACTAGACAAGGTTCAGTTCTCGAAAATTGGAAAGACAATACATGATGTATTGCAGCATTGGTTCGATCGACATCAATGGCTTTCACATCGTAACCCATATTCCGCCAAGCAGATGCCAGGCGGGCTTTCCCAGCGAAGAATTCCAGGAGTTGCACATCACCGCACACCTCCTGACAGGAATGATAAAGGCAAAGAGGATTGGTTTTGCGTGGCAGTCACAATTTAAATTGCTGCTCCTCCGACGCACGAACTCCTGCTTTCTGCAGGACAAAGTGGAAGATCACCAGTTCCACCAGAACCTCATATCCAGGATGTTGTGAAATCGCAAATCCGGAATGAACATGGATTTAATGTGACATACTCTTGCGTTTTTTCCCATTCGCCGCAGCGCCATGCGGTTGCATCATCACGCAGCATAGCTTCAGCTAGCGTCTGCCATTGCAGCGTTCTTCAGGTTCCGGAGTCTCTCCAGAACCGTGCCCTCATCACCACCATCATTAAGCTCTGCTGCGGCAGCGTTCACCTGAAGCACTTGAAAAATGGGTCCCAAGAGCACGTCCGACCGAGGTTTTCTTTAGGAAGCATACATTCAGCGGTGAAAGATCCCAGCCTCATCGAAGTGGTGGCTCAATTGTATGAGCTGCTTGTCTTTGCCATTATCCAGCTTCTTCGCCAGAGCCAGGATCTGGACCACAACATGTTTGACGCATCATATGCAGCATATGACGACATGCACTGCATGTGAAGTTTATCCTGCCGGCGAGACACATCTTTTCCATTGCGACGTGCCTTCTTTGTGACGTAGGTCTTTCTTGTTTTCTTTGTTTTCTCAGCAGCCACGCTCTTCTTCTCCGCACGGAGCTTCAGTTGGTCTGCAGTGCCAGGAAGGTTTCATGGTTATGACAGCTCAAACACATGACTCAAGGCCCAGCCTGACGACAACAGCGGTTCTGCCGGTGTGCGTGCATTGTGATCTTTCATATCCTGGCCAGTCTATAAGGTGACTGATCCAACAGGGCAAGGCATGCAGGCATCATGGTTTTGGGGGCAGCAGAGCTTCCTTTACGTATTCCGGTTGTGGTGTGTATGCCACCTTCGAAGCTGCAGCGAACTGGTCTGGCTCAGGAGCGGGGTCTGCCTGGTGCAGGCAGTCGATCATGTGTTGAACCCTCTGGAAAGAATTGTGTACGCCACCTTCGAAGCTGCAGCGAAGTGGTCTGGATCAGGAGCCGGGTCTGCCTGGTGCAGGCAGTCGATCATGTGTTGAACCCTCTGGAAAGAATTGGGTGTGGATCAGGAGCCGGGTTTGCCTGGTGCAGGCAGTCGATCATGTGTTGAACCCTCTGGAAAGAATTGTGTATGCCACCTTCGAAGCTGCAGCGAACTGGTCTGGATCAGGAGCCGGGTCTGCCTGGTGCATGCAGTCGATCATGTGTTGAACCCTCTGGAAAGAATTGGAATTCAATCATGCGGCCCCAGAGGCCGCAGCGGGCTTGTCGGTCGAACTTCCGGCCGCAGCGGGCTTGTCGGTCGAACTTCCGGCGGACTGAGATAGAGCGGCCGGCGAAGGAAACAGCAATACATTGCGCAGACACACAGAAATCCAAATGAAACCTAAATGGCACAACTCGACTCAATCAGAGGCCAGGAGCTGGCATGCCGGCACCTTCATCGTCCGAACAAAGGTCCAGGAGCTTGTCTTGTAGATCCTATACATAGCAGCAACAAGACTGGTGACATGTGGCCCAGGAATATACACAAGCACAGAGTCGACCACCCAGTCCTCCATGACGCGCTTCCTTTTGTTATCCAGTTGCTTCTGCAACTCGATTCTTTCTCTGTCGCCTTCCTCGAGCTTCACATCAAACAGCAGGTCATGATCCAGCTCGTCCTCGGGCATCTCGGCGTTGTCTTTGAGCTCTTGAGCTCCGTCCTCCAAGAGGTCGAGAAGCTCCAGCAGCTTCTCATCATAGGAGGCGGCAACGCTCGGCCATTTCTGGCCACCGCCCCGACCAGCCAAAAACTTCCAGGCCCTCCTCAGTTTCCTCAAGGCAGACAGCATGGCTTTCATGTCATAGACCAAGGTCTCCACAACGACGGTTTTGCCGTCAGGCAGCATCGGTCTGATGACACTCTCCAGAATCTGCCCCATCCTGAGTCAGGACTGTTCAATCTCAGGCAACACAGCATGCGCGATCTACAGTTTGAGCTGAGCATCGACTCACCACTGATGAGGACCTTGGGCTCGCAGAGCAGGAGTGGCTTCAGGATCCAATGATGCTCCTGATCGTCTCGAGAGACAGCGAAGCAGACAACACCCCAACAAAGAGAGGAATAGCAGAACTCACTTTCGCCGGGGAGCAATCAGAAACTCGCGAGCGATGGTCCCTTTCAGACTGGCCACCTTCTTGAAGATATTTTGAGCATCTTCGATCACCTTCGGGATGAAGTCCAGGGGCACATTATTCTTGATCTGATCAACCACAGCGGACAGCTCGTCCGCTTCCAAAGTCCGCTCGACCATCCCGCTTGGCCGACCCATTCTACTGGTTTGCTTAATGTGCACATCTGACAAAAGCTGCATGCAGCTAGCTCTACTGCTAGAGATACCTGTAGCTGAGTCCTGGAATCCAGGACCATGCACAGCTGCATGCAGCTAGCTCTATACTGCTAGAGATACCTGTAGCTGAGTCCTGGAATCCAGGACCATGCACAGCTGCATGCAGCTAGCTCTATACTGCTAGAGATACCTGTAGCTGAGTCCTGGAATCCAGGACCATGCACAGCTGCATGCAGCTAGCTCTATACTGCTAGAGATACCTGTAGCTGAGTCCTGGAATCCAGGACCATGCACATTCAACACCATGCTGCAGAGCCATTTTGGAATCCAGTGTATGCAATCAACAAAAGTGCACCATGCAGCATGACTGCCAGGGAATCTTTCTAAGTGCAAACGCCTATTGCGAGCAAGGAGCCCAAGGAAGGCCAAGAAAGACCATGCCATATATTTCCCTCATGTCATGGAATTCCAAGCGCTCTAGGCACTTTTCAACCAGCAGCACATCTGGAATATATACCATGGCTCTGAGTCCAAGGCGCTGTGCGTAGACCAATTTAGATATTTCAGAGGCTGATCCATGTTGCCCAGCAGCCCAACAAGAATGATTTACATGCACGGCACATACAATATGTTTTAGCGGCCAGAGTTATTGCTGTATGAACGGCTTCCCTAAAAGGTGCCGGAACGAGGTTTATGCTTACGTGATGTCACTTGACTCGAGCAATCCGAGACACGATTTCGAGCATCCATGATGCGTGATCGCACAGGCACAACAACAAAGCCTCACAGAAGCAATTGCTGGCAAAGCGAGGGGGCACTTGCTGAGCGGACGGGCCACATCATTTGCTTCTCGTTCTGTGCACAGGCGCACACGTTTACACTTTCAAACAACGATCGCATGTAAGAGGCATCAAGGAGCAGTCCTGATAAGAATTTTCTCTTCCGAGATCGTCCCATCCTGGCATTCAGGTTCATCCCCAAGCAGACAGACATGCGTCCAATTAAGCCAGAGTGCAAGAGATTTGGAAGGTCCGCAGCACCGGGGTGGCAGGTGCCAACACCCGGGCCCGGGCCTGATCTGCGCAGCGTGGTGGAGGGAGTCCTTCGGCGCGTAAGGCGTAAGTACATGCACATGAACATCGGAATCTAGACACATGCATGGCTGTGTCGGCCTGCAGCACTCGATCTTTTTCGTTGCTCGATCACGTCGCTCGCAAGAGCAGCTCATGGTGTGTGCACAAAATCGAGGCCCCGGAGCTGCTGCGGCACGGGCATCGTCTTGCAAGATACTCTATGATATGGCACTCAAGTATATAAGGGACCCCGAAAGCACATAATAAGCATAATAAGCATTTATGGTGTTCAGGGTTGGAGGTCGAAAGCTTGTGTTGCAGCAGCAACAACAACAACTACTACTATACTTCTTCTGGAAATGCCTTAATGACTGTACAGTCAATTATAGCCCGCAGCCGCAGCACTCTTCCTCGTCCTCGCTGATCTGACTCTTGAGGGATGGAGTCCATTCCCCGGGTTTGTCCGGGGACTCCATGGGCTCCTCATCTGCTACCGCCGGCTCCACCGGCATCTGCAGCGCCTGCCGCTCTCCAAATCCTTAGTTGCTTAAGCGATATACAGAATTTAGAATTAAGATTGAGGTTCATTTAGGGTTCAAATGTCGAGTGTCGGCCATGAGCCGGCTCCACCGGCATCTGCAGCGCATGCTGCTCTCGAAATCCTTAGTTGCTTAAGGGATATACAGAATTTAGAATTAAGATTGAGGTTCATTTAGGGTTCAAATGTCGAGTGTCCGCCATCAGCCGGCCGTACCGGCATCTGCAGCTCCTGCCGCACTCCAAATCCTTAGTTGCTTAAGGGATATACAGAATTTAGAATTAAGATTGAGGTTCATTTAGGGTTCAAATGTCGAGTGTCCGCCATCGAGCATTTCCAGCGAGCCTGGCGGCGTGTAGAGGGCGCCGAATCCTGGGGAAGGGAGATTTGCCAGCAGCCACGAAGAAGGTTTAACGTATGTAAGTCCAGCGTCCGATCATGCGTCCCGACTGCGTCATTCGCGGCCCGCTGCAACTGCCCATGGTGCCGCTGCCCAAAGTGGTCATGTGCCCGAAGCCTTAAAGCACATAAGCAAAGAGAGCGGGCTGTCATGGGGCCTGGGTTTTGCATTTTATGTTTTTGGGCGTCTTTGGCGTTTTAGCATTATACGAAGCACCTATGCATGTGCATGTATGTACGTACGTATGTGTATATATATATATATGTACTTATACATGTGTGTGTGGTTGCAATTGCTTGTAAAAGGCCGTGAGGGCCTATGAACATATAAAATGCATACACTCGAATACACGTGCACATGTATATATTCCACAGCTAAGCTTACATGAGCACATGCACTGTTTATGTGCTTGCATGGTCATGGTACGAATAATAATCGCTAATTATGGCACCCTGTACGCAGTGGACACCCGGCCACGTCCGAGCGAAACGAAAGAAGACAAAGTATTTCACGCACCGTGCATCTGTTTCCACAACTTGGACTCTCGAAAATCTTTGGAGCCGTGTCGCCCGCCGTGTTCTGATTTCCTTGTGTGTTGAGTTGGCACATGTCCGTGAGTTTCCACTTTCTTCCCAGTTTGAAGATTGCAGTATTACCTACCTATGCGGGGCTTCACAACAGTATACAACAATGCTGGCAGTCGCAGGAATTTACTGCTGCAAACTGGGAGCATGTACATACATAGTATGTTTTATGCAGTGCTACAACACACATTGTGTCAGGGGTGCACACTGCATGTATGTACACAAATCAGTGAGTAGTGTGTTTTAGATTTAGTTTCTATTGTAACGCAGTGCTACGTATTTGGAGCCTAGGGCCTTCCAGTTTCACAGCAATGCATAGCTTTCTGTTCGGTTCATGTGATTTAGGTTGCGATGACCCTTGAACAGTTGTTTTCCCAGTTGCCACCCCACCACTTTCACATTAACACGGTCCTCAACTCGCATACACTCTGCATCATGGTTTTCCCAGTCGAAGATGCGTTTTTGTCGAGATCCACATTTTTCAAAATATGGATGTATCACCACGTTCGTCGAAATCAACAGCACAAGGCAAGCGAATAGCGGAAATCAGCGAAACACAACAGCACACACAGTGTATATCGTCATATCCAGGAAGCAAAGGCTCGGAAGCCTTGCATTATGACATACATACAATACATCAGTGTCACATAAGTCACATAAGCTGATCTCGAAGTAAAGAACGCAATTGCCCAAAAAAACTGCTGTAGTGCTGGCAGTAGCAATGTCGGATATTGCCAGAATTTAGCTTCTATTGAAGAGTGAAACTATGATGGAATGTCAAAATAAGGCTTTGAGGGTTCTTTCTGGTCCCTAAACCCTAAACCGCCTTCCATCCTTACGACTGTCCTTGATGTGTACATCGCGACGGTCTGTGTACAGCCGAGACCCTGTGAACCGTAAGAAGATACAGCACTTCTGTAAGCAGCTCACGTGCCCTGAACAAACCATTTGTTCATAGACAGGGAAGGGTGATGCTATACAACTTGTTCACAAAGCATAAACTCATACACTTCAGACGCAAAAAGACATTGTAATTACCAGCGTTTTCACAACATCGGCGAACGAAGTTGTGTTGTATGCGAGAAATACAGCAACTCGACGTGTTCTTCCAAGGAGGATAGACAAAGTGGTAAAGTTTGTGGAAATGGTGCCAGCGCGCGCTTGGTTTTTGGTGTGTGGTGCATGGTGAGGGGATTGGGGTTGGGGGTGGGGACGGGACGCAGTAGAGAGAGGGGAGGGGGGGGGGAGGGGGGGGCGGGGGGGGGGGGGGTAGGGGGACACATGTTCAGACACAAAAAGAAGCCCCCCCCCCCCCCCCCCCCCCTTCTCCCCCCCCCCCCCCCTCCCCCCTCCCCTCTTTCATCTTAGTTTGTAAACGCCAGCCCTGGTTATAAACACAAGCCATGCTTATAAACACAGACACTGTTTATAAACACAGGCACTGCTTATAAACAACATCATTATTGATAAGCGACATAAATGTCTACAAGTACGAACAATACAGTAAATCACCCAGAACTGTTTATACAAGCATAGGATAGCAAGATGATGTGAAACAAATCGCTGCGAAACCGCGAAACGTGATGTGTCCCAAACGCAGGCCCCATGGTAGCCCTTTCTGTAAGCAAAACAATAGGATGGGGATGTCCCTTATTATACATTTGCAATCGAGGAACTGCTGCGCGAGCGCTCCGAGTTGCTTGGGGTCACGTAGTGATCAGGACGAAATCTGCACCAGAGAAGTGCACGTGCGCATACGTATGTATACAGCTAGATTGAAACATTGAACTCTGAGAAGCCAAGCTGCCGCAAGTGGGCGCTGTGAGGGCCCATGGCTGGGCATGGACCCGGCCCAGAAATCCGAGGGCGAAGCCGCAGAGGCGGAAGCTCCAACGTCTCTTTTTCCATGCGGCTTAAGGCGTCCATGGCCGGTGAAACAGAAAACCAAACACAATATTGAGCAGGGGATGCTGCATGGGATGCAAACGTTCATGCAGCTGCTTCGATCATGCATGCAAGTTGCTAGACTGTCTGCCTCTCGGCCGGGTGCATGCAGGCAGTCCTTATCCACCGAAGTCGGAGTGAGATGGAGAAGGCCTGTGGCCGACAAAGTACAATTAGCCTGCAAACTATATCCGGGCCACAAGCGAACACTTGCCGGCCTCTCCGGCGAAAAAACCTGGCGCAGTACTGCGATGGCACAGAACTCCGATGTCGAAGCCAGTGAAAGCTGCGGGAGCAGGCCTATATGGAAGCTGTAGGGATATGTCGAAGGGCACGAGGGCGAGGATGCAACCTGGCAGACACGGTAATCTTGAGATTAGAATTTTACGAGAACTATGATTTAAGCAAGCCTGTGGTGCCTTCGATCCAGTCGAAATTGCGCGGCCCAAGGAGACAGAAATTAGGGTTTCAGGTGTTCGATCTATTTACGTACGTACATATCTATAGGCTATCTACATATACTATGTCTATATGTGTGTGTATTCCATATATAGTGCAAGTGCCCACTATATACCCCTTTCCAGCAGTACTTGCCTCAAGGCGGAAGCAAGCGAACATGCTCAAGCTTCCATGTTGCTAAGCAATGCATACAACACGCGCGAGCCCACTCGTTTTTTTCTGATCGCTCGAGGCTTCTGTCTAGTTGCCAGATCGTTTAATGATCTGGCGTAGTGAATCGCGATCAAGAATGGCACCAAAGTCCGTCACGTAGACGTCTATACCCATCATGTCCATATGCTGGAGCTGCCGCTTGAAGTGCTCGACCTGCTCCTGGCTGTACGGCCCGAAGCCGCCTTGCCCAGCGTCGCCTCCAGCGTCGGCACCCGAAACGCTGCTGTCATCTGCAGTGGATCCTGCAGCAGCATCCAAAACGGGGCCGGTGGCACTGCTGCCAGTCGAAGCAGCTGGGCCGCTGCTGTCAGTCCCTGCGGTGCCCGCGGCGCCACTGCTGCCAGTCGAAGCACCTGGGGACTTACGCACACGGCCGGCACCACCAAAGATGCCATCGCTTTGATTGTTGAGGAAACCTCTCTGCATGATCGAGCGCAGCTAAATGCAGGATTGCTTGGGCCGTGCACCAAAAACTGCAGAATGCACTGGCTCTCACCCTGCCCTGCGAGGTTGCACATGTAAGTCTTCTGAGCCTGCAGCACTTGACTGGCTTGAGTGCACAGGTGAGCTTGCGAGGATGTGCCAGCGCAAGTCGGCACTGATCCACCAGTGCACACTTTCCAGCGTGTGAATCTCCGAGGGTGTCAGGTATTGGCCCAGAAATTCACAGACCAAGGGCAAAGCGCAAGCCACAATCAACGGAGGATCACGATCAATGGACACTGAGCGGGCGGCCCCCTCTAGCGTGTGAATCTCCGAGGGTGTAAGGTATTGGCCCAGACAATTGCAGACCAAGTGTAAACGACACACAACAATCAACCCAGGCTCAGGATCGACTGCAACGGACACGGAGCGGGTGGCCATCAAAGCTGTGTGCTTTGTTTATAATAGATCGAACTATGGCGATGTCAAAGTATTCTGTTTGCACAGCTGTTTCTCGGTGTGGTAATTGCCAACGACCGATTCTGCAGCCATATAAGATGTGTGATTTTGCTATAGTCATGTACACTTAAATTTGAAAGTCATATAGGTCCAAAACATCATGATGAGCCTCTGACTGCGGACAAAACCGACCAGTTTTCCCAATCAACCCAGGCTCACAATCGACTGCAACGGACACGGACCGGGTGGCCATGCATAAGCGAAGCTGTGTGCTTTTTTTATAAAAGCACGATGGTGATGTGAAAGTATTTTGTTTGCACAGCTGTTTCCCGGTGTGGCAATTGCCAACGCCCGATTCTGCAGCCATATATATATATACATAGGCTCTCGGTGCTTGGGCTCTCGGTGCTTGGGAGGCTCTCGGTGCTTGGGCTCTCGGTGCTTCGGCTCTCGGTGCTTGGGCTCTCGGTGCTTGGGAGGCTCTCGGTGCTTGGGCTCTCGGTGCTTCGGCTCTCGGTGCTTGGGCTCTCGGTGCTTGGGAGGCTCTCGGTGCTTGGGCTCTCGGTGCTTCGGCTCTGGATGCTTGGGCTCTCGGCGCTTCGGCTCTCGGTGCTTCGGCTCTCGGTGCTTGGGCTGAGGGGCGGCAAGAGTGTACAGTTATAACACACGTTTCTCGGGGTGGCAAAGTGCCATCGCCCTGGTATAATACGCATACGATGTGTCATTTTGGCTCAACATGTGTACTATCAAAGTCGTATAGGCTTATAAAACATCGCCTGAGGAGCCTCTGACTGCGGACAAAATCACATAGTTTTCAAAGGACCTATCAATCGAACGTTAAGAAACATCAAATAGCCAGCCCCTTTGGGGAAGAAACGACACATGACAGCAAACACCACGCGACGTTTAAGAAACGACAAAGGGCTGTCCAGGAATGCTGCGATGCGCGCAAGACGGCTCGAGAGCGGCTTCCTCAGGTGCGAAACTAGCGCTGGGCATGGCCGTACCAGCGCGGCCCGTTGCGGCCAGGAGTGCATCGCGTCCTCCTTCATTTTCAAAGCTCGTTGACGTGAGTTGCGTGGACGAGTTGCAAGACCAGACCGTGGATTTGGCAGGGGGTTTGCCGTGCAAGTGCAACCTTATAGCCAATTTCCTTTGTTTGTTTCTTCCATTGTTTCGGCGGGATTTTGTGTATCCGCTGCAAATATCCCGGTTCTTTTTTGCTGTGGATTTGCGGTGCAGCGCAACTAAAAGCATAATTTATTTGTTCTTTTATTCCGTTATTTTGTTGTGATTTTTGTTTCTTGCCGCAGATATTGCAAAGCAACCGCTGTCTTGATTTTGATTATTTAGCGAGAGTGCTAAGATTTCCCATGGGCATCTTCTGGATTTTTTACGCTTGCTGGTTGTTTGACTTCTTCCGCAGCCATTTCGTGTGGAGCTTTGCTGCGCCCCTTCGACAAGGCCTGTGGTTTCAGTGTGGCAGTCGTGTGGGGCCAGGGCCGTCGATGCATTTCCAAGTGTAGGCGCTTTTCGAGGCCTTGTGCTCTCGCTGTTCCTGGAACAGGCGCCGGCTGGCAGAGAGTGCTTCGCAAGCAGTGGCAAGCAAGCAGTTCTTGCATGTTTCTTTTCGCAGAAATCTGAGTGTCCAAGTTGTTTTGTAGCTTTTGTTTGGTGAGCCAACGCAGGCCCTCGAAGGCCTATATTCCTTCTGTCTGTCAGCGTACAGGTTTGGTGAGCTAGCATGGGATGTGGCATGGCATCCGAGCCATGTTCACTCGGGTGCAAGCCGGTGGTCCGATAGCGAAGGCTGTCGGCGGAGTTGGCATCACTGCGGCCGGCTTTACCGCATGTGTTACCTCCATGGACGTTGTGCGGAGGCACTTGCAGGAAGCAAGAGATCGCGCTCGTGTGACCGCGCGCGTAGTCCACAGCCCCTTCCATGCTGCCGAGCCCGCAACAGAGATCCCGCGTGAGCAGGTCCAGGCCCGGCATCGCAAGTGTTCAGCAGCCGTGTCCCTTGTTTTGAACGCTCCATGTGCTAGGCCCAGATCAGCAGCTTGCTGGACCTGCATGATCGCTCCCCCCTGCTGATCTGGGGGAATCACCAGTCCGGCAAGAGCTTCGCCTTGTTCAAGGCATGCAAAGAGGCAGGCTTTCACCAGGGCGTCGTCCACGTGAAGCTGGACAGCGACAAGGAGACTGCAGGAGAAAGGCTGCGCCAGCAGCTGGGTGCCCCCGGCCACGTGGAGGTCGAGGAGGCCTTGAAGCAGGCGGCAAAGACGCTGGGCCGAGTGCCCATCGTCGTCTTGGAGATACCCCGACAGGTGAGTGAGATGAAAGTTCTTGCCAGCTGCTCGGGCCTCGCCAAGACGTTGGGCTACGACGCGGAGTTGGCGAAGGTGATTGTGTTGGCGAGCAGCGCCTCCATGGCACTGAGATTTGACGCGGATGCCCGGGAAGTTCGGTGCCAGATCGCATCGCTGAGTGAGGAAGAGTGCCAGCAGCAGGAGGCGGGGGGCCTTTTGCCGAGCGCGTTCCTTTGTTTGCCTGCCTGACCAGGTCCAGGAGTTCCTCAAGCACCACGGTGGAGACGCGGCTGTCGAGCACAAAGCTGACCTTTTGCAGCTCACGGGCGGCAATGTGGGCAAGCTCGAGGCCCTCGGAGTTAAGCGCGGTGCGTGTGCTCTTCTTTGCGGAGCCTTTCTAGCCTCGCAGGAGCTCGCCAAGGACCTAAAGATCCAGACCTTCGAGCAGGTCCGGCAGGAAGCCATCGGCGAGCAGGACGGGTTTGTTTTGTACCTTTGTCTTTGCGCAGTGCTTGTTGCCATGTGCCAGGAGCAGCAGATCCTGGACTTCCTCGGCATCGATGTGCAGGGTGGCTTCGGGCCAAAAGAGGTCGCAGCCGCGAAGGAGGTGGCCCGCCGTGTGGCGGACGCCCCGTTTCACCAGTGTGTCAGGGTCAAGGACTTTGGGGGCCGTTTCACCAGCAAGGACCTAGCACAGGCAGTGAAGGCGCGAGGCGCCCACTGCATTTATGTAAAGGCCACCACTAAGGCGGATGAGCGGTTTTGCGCAGCGTCGCCATCCGTGCACGCTCTTCTCAAGCAGATGACACCTGCTCTTGTAACTGACACGAAGCCCAAACGCTGGGGAATCTTCTGATGCAATTGAAACCGCCAAGAAGCCTTAGACTGGGGGATTGCGGTGTTGATGATAGAAAGTTGAAGCAGCAGACCTAGCATTCCACCAGAGGGCGGACGTACAGCCTGCCAACAGCGCAGGGCCAGGAATTTGATGACAGAAAGTTGAGACATCCAGGGAGCATGAGCGTTTGAGTGCAAAAAAGGGGGGCCAACAGCGCAGGGCTTTTGATGACAGAAAGTTGAGACATCCTAGGCATCAGAGCTTGAAAAAGGGCCGAGCTGCCAGTCTTCCCTACGTACTTGTTCAGTCGATGTTGACTTCGCGCAGGCGGCGGGTTCAAAGTGCGGACCGCTGAGTGAAGAGCAAGTGTCCCGGTGAGAGTTGTATGTCGGTAGCGCGTTAGGTGTGTTGTTTGCCGCGTGTTGGGAGCTGCTTGAGCGTTCGCAACTCCGGGTGCCCCTCTTGCTGGCCTTCGTCAATGACAAGAATGCGTGCGCTCTGCAGCAAGAAGTGCACAGCGTTCCAACCCGAGAATCGCATGTGCGGGGCCGTAGACCCTTGTGTGTCTTTTGTGTTTTGTTTGGAGATTGTTGATGTTTTCACTGGGACCGAGCGCTGCAGCTGCAGCAGCTGCAGTGCCAAAAAAAGGAGACACGGAGGTCCTCATTCCGGAGCACAAGGCGGAACGACTCCTGAATTTGCCGTTTTTGTCGAGTTGCGCCTTCCACTCGCATTAATACAGTTCCATATGCCGGTTCGCGCCAACAAAATTTTTTTGTGACAAAAATCAAGCCGGCTTATTGTCGACTGCTTGGCCGGCTTCGATCAGAGTGCGCCAGCAGAGAAGGGAAAGAGCCACGGAGAACCAAGAAAAAACTGCATGTTTTCACTTTGTTCGAATGAAGCTTGGCTCCCCAAATCCCGACTGCTCCTCGAAACCTTGAACGATGGAGTTCGGTTGTTTGGAGTCCAGGTTTAGGCGTTCCATCCTGAAACCCCCAGTCCTGAAGCCTGAACCTTGGTATGGTGACAGGAAAAGTTTTAGTTATGGTTATAGTTTACACGTCACGGTTCAGAGTTTTTTGTTTGTACAGTCACTAAACCCGTGGCTCCAAAATCACAGATCTTGAGTTCTCCACACTCTCGATCTTTACTTGAAACACCATGGCTTTTGTCGAGGGGGTCGAGTTTCGGTTTAAGCCTCCCACTCCGGGCCATCGTTCTCTCTGATTCGGCCGGAGCAGGTCGCAATAGCCGTCTCACCCAGAGGCACCATTAAACCTTTCACCCTCCAACCCAAAACCCTTAAACCCCCTAAACAACCCCAAACCCTAAACTTCTCAATCTGCTGGCTAAATCTGTCGTGCAGCATGTGGAGCTGAGCAGTTTGCTTTTCAGTTCTCGCGGTTCAGGTACAGTCGTCATGTCAGGCTTAAATGACAACGATTTTGTTAGTTGAGGCTTAAAAGACTCTGCTGCAGCCCCCTAAAACCCAACCACTCTCGGCTCGAGACCACTTGGCTTTGTAGATGGGTGCTCTCCGAGCAGCCACGTGATGATACGATGAGGCACTGATGAGGGTTATATGGAGCTGTCCAAAAACCTGAGCGCGTAATCCGGCTTTGTACGACTTGTTGAAGCTTTATTATGGTGTTTCTGACAAGAAGAAATGGAGGTCGCATAGGGTTTAATAAGGTTGTATGTGTTGATGGTACTGCTGACCTACCAAACCCTGCGTTGCCCATCGTAAGGACCATACCGCAACGTACCAGGATTCCCATCGCTTAGGACCCCTGAGGCCTTAGGAATACATCATAACTGCCTTAGTTTAAATTAAAGTCCTGAATGTCGTAGAAACATTCTGCATTTCTCCTAGTTCAAGGTCGTGCAAGCTTTTAGGTCATTCAGCATTTAGTCCGTCAGCTGTAGTGCACAGTTCACACCATAGCTGTCATTTCGAAGGTCCTGCTTTTTGATGATGTTGCTATTGTTGATATGGCATCTACGACTCTTGCTGTCGTCATGCTGTGAGCATTCTTGCTACTCGTATCATCGCAGTTGTTTCGGCACGATGCAGTGTTGGCTGGAGTCTTGTCTGACCTATAAACCCAACCTGAAGCCCAACAGCCCGAAGCCCTCAACCGTTGCAACCTTGAATTTCGAGCTTAGATTAAACAGACCGCGAGAAGATGATGCATAAACTTCAACCCAGAGCTCTACACTGCTGAAACCTAAGCCCTGAAACCTTAGACTCGCAACCCTAAGCCTTTGCAGTTGGTAATGGTTTCATGGGCCTCAAAGCCTTATTCAAATTATTAAGGCCCCTATATTAGATGCGGTGCACACCTCTGACATGATTTCTCCCTGCAGGCGATAACTCCGCGCCTGCACGGCCCTCGGTAGCAGGGGCTGTCATTGGGGGTTTCGGGTTTAGGTAATGCTTAAAGGAGTGAGAACGAGGACGAGCAACTACTTAAGGCAAGTTCTACGGAGTAGATCAGGAATGACATGTTGTGCATCGACATCGCAGCGGTGGTGCCTTCTTGTCCTGCTGGTCATGGTGATGGGAACGGTAGTGAGGATGATGGTGGCAACGCTGCTTATCGTGGTGATTACCTACTTATGATGACGGTTCGAAAGCTTGTTTGGATGTTTTCTGGCGATATTCCTCACCGACGTGATCTTCACACCGAGGTCGTCTTGAGTTGCATACCTATCATCTGCAGACACGCGCTTGAGAGCAGTGTGCTTGCCAAGACGGGCAAGCAGAAGTCATGCAGGGACTGGAGCGAATGCTTTGATCGTCGCTTTTTGCTAGGGTTCTAAGTTCAGTATAGATGATGGTGATGACGATAATGAGGATGCTGATGATGATGATGCCAGGCTCATGACCAAACCGCCCAGCTAAGTGCTGGCTTGGTTCCCCAAAGCCTAAGTGCAGCGCAGGGCCTTAACTCATGGCCGAGACCGGTACTGTCAGCGGGCCATACTTCTGACTCGTTGAGAGGAAGGAAATGTGACTCTCGCAACTCCTTGTGGCAGCTGAGGAAGCGAACCTAATTGTAGTTTGTCTTGCCGGCATGATTGGGAGCCCTGAACCTTGTGCGTTTTTTTGTTGTGCGTGGGGAGCTTCAGGTGCAGGGCGATTTTCTGGGTCTTTCTCCTCCCTAAACCTGAACCCGAACACTATCCCACTCGAAGTCAACATGGAAACTCAAGACAGGCCCTGGTGTGGACCTTAAACCCTAGACCCTAGACCGTCTTTCTAGACGGGGTTCCCGCCAAGGTGGGGGGAGTCGGTGCCATCTTGGGTGGGTTGTCAAACACCCAAGCCCTACTTGGAGGATCATGGGACCTAGTATCTAAGGTTCTACGTACCTTAATTGGGGGTATAAGTAATTGTACGTATAGTTACCTTGTTTAAAAAGCCAAGTTACTAAGTCCCATGATCATTTAAGTAGACCCTAAGCCCTAAACGCTGTATGTGGTTGATGGTTGAGGGCTTCCACCTGGAGGATCTCCTCGTCCGGGCTGGCATTTGGGCGATGTTCTAGGCTCCTCTGGAAGGGTTTATGGCTTAGGGTCTACTGCGGGTCCGGTACAAGGCTCTCACGATGCTCTCGATTTTTTGGATCGCCCTGGGCCCTGAAATCCTAAACTCCAAAGCTTTAGGCTTCAGTTCCTCAGCCGACATAACCGCGAGCTAAACTCTAAAACCTAACCGCAAGATTTGCCAGATTTGGCGGCGCAGCTCCAGCATGGAGGTGCTTGCCGGATTGGTCTCGGGCCTCGCAGGCGGGGTTTAGGGCTTAGGGTTTAAGGCTAAGGGGGTTAGGGTTTAGGGTTTAAGGGGGTTAGGGTTTAGGGTTTAGGGTTTAAGGGGGTTAGGGTTTAAGGTCTAGGGCTGGCGTTGTAGGAGGCAGGGTCCCTAGGCCATGAACCCATGTTGTTGGGTCCACTGTTTTGGATGTGGCGGCCGACAAGACCAGAACCCCTGGCTCCCAATAGTAGTACTATTACTTCCAGATCTTTAGTTTATATATGATGCTACATGAATCCCTACAACCCTATTTAAATGATAAAGGCCCCTATCCTAAACCCTAAACCCTAAACCCTAAATCCTAAATCCTAAACCCTAAACCCTGAGCCCAAAGCCCTAATCCCATGTCCGGCCCAGGCGCTGCCTACGAGGTCTTCGGCTACAACCGCAAGCAGACGCCTCAGTCCATGCAAACAAAAGTTGTAATCATCCTTATACATGAAATATTACATGGGTGGTTGTCAAAATCATGGTCCCTATTTGAGTCCCTATTATAGTACGGCACCTAATATTTAGGGTCCTGATTTTGACGACCATCCACATGATACTACTCATAGTTCTAATGTTAAAAATATCAGTAACAAGACCGAGAACGTGGTCCTTGCCTGGCGAAACGTCTTTTGGGTGATCCGAGCAATGATGAAAACGAAGATGGTGGTGGTGGTGGCGCGGGTGCTGCTGGTGGTGGTGGGGGTGGTGGTCTCGGTAGATGCGATGAGAAAAATGTTAGCCGCCATAGTGAATGCGAACTTGAAACTTTGCAATTATTGGTTTCGTCCTCGTCATCAACAAACCACGATCAACATCACCACCCTTGATTGCCATTACGGTTATCGTTCTCACCACCAGTAGCATCTCACCTTCAGCACTGTCCTCATTAGCATCATCATTATCACGATCGTGGTGTCATCGATATTTCTTCAACTTCACGTGGACGAAGCATCCTACTAGGATCGGCAAGGATATCAGCCCTACATTTAAAGTACTGGTTTCGATTCTTGCTGCGGCCATCAAGACCCTGTGCTGTGGCGTTGAACTGCAGCGTCTCTTACATGTTTCCCGTACAGCTGGCTTGAGATCAGCCCTCAGGGCTTTCAGGCCAGGCAGGAAAATCACTTCGTGATTTTGACGACTTCAAGTTTCAGCGTCCGGGGCTTTGTGATATCAGGATTTCTATTTGCTCTTATGGAAAGCATGT